CATCATCCTCATTTTGAAAACAACAAAACGTCATGATGAAATAACAAGATTTTAATAGGTTGCAGCGAGTTCGTGTAAATCATTAAATCATCGCATTACACAAGCATCAGCGTGGAATTTTTTCAGAAAATTTAATACGTCACGCACGACTAATTATATCCAATTTTTTTACAAAGCATATTTTCTTTTACAACGTTGTTAATTTTTGCGACCCATCAATGCTTACAGCCTCCAATCTTTTATACTATTCCAAAACCGCTATCATTGGTGAAAATCTGTTATTGCTGACATTACCAACATCATCATGACTTGGAGCATTTGAAAGGCTTTGATTGATTTCATTACGATGTATGTATGAATTCAAAAAAGAATAGTTGTTTTAAATTTTTTAGAGGTGTTAAAACTTTCGACATCTTCTGGGTGTAATTTAAGGTGGGATTTTAAATTAATTTTTTTTAAAAAGAAAAAGAAAAAGAAAAAGAAAAAAGAGGGAATCTATTTTCTTAAATAGTTTTTTTCACTTTATTCAGCATTGCACGAACAACTGATGATTTGATTATATTGTTCTTGGGACAACAATTAATAATATCAAATGTGGAATGAATTTACTTTCATTTATATTAATATGATTTCAAAAAAGGGTTTAATTGGTAAGTTGCAGTTTTTATGTTTATCTATCTTTCATTTAAATCAAAGATTGTATCATCATTATATAATTTATTTCATTAATTCAAAAAATACATGTATAACATGAAATGTAATGATAAGTATAAAATAAATAAATAAATTTTAATTGTCCATCATTCATCTTGGATTTTTCTTGAACATCTTTGCTCATGTCATCATAAGCTCATTCTTTATTTAACCTTAGCATTAGGAGTATCTGTGACAGTTGAAGCAGTAGAAGAGCTGGTGGAAATATAAACAGTTGTCAAGCAAGTTGAAAAGGTCAAAGAGGTTGAAGAGGAGGCTGAAGAAGTGACATGCTTCCTTTTCTTATTCACCCTTTTGAAATATTTTTCAATCAATTCCAGTTCTCCCTCTTCATCACTATAATTTTTACTGTTGCTTTTGTTTGTCTTGGGCTCACTTGGAATCAAGTTCCATTCTATTTCTTCTCTACCAAGTGTTTTTTGTTTGTCTTGCTGATTCTCAACTTTCCAAGAACCGAAATTATCAACCTGCCTAGATTGTTTTTGATCAACCTATATTTCCTGTACTTGTCCACATACATCACATAAACTTCAGAGTTGATGCTTTTGTTCTTTGACATCAGGTTGTATAGCTTTCTGTTTAAAACAAAATTCCCACCTGCCTCATTCTCAACAAAAAATTCATTGTTTGTGACCCTGTGAAAAACATTAATGGATATTGGTGGGGAAAGTCTTCCTTGCCTTCACCATTTTCATCAACCATAATCATTTGGTTTGGAGTCACCTACACATATTTATAATTAAGAAAAGTCAAAATTTCAGGTCAAGAAGGTATAGTAATAGGGAAAAACCATTTGACTCCCCCTTCTATGACATATCTCCTGATCAGGACAGCCACCAAGTGCTTGGAAAAATTTAACACATTGTTCACCTTGTTATAATATCTTTTGAAGTTAACCTTTCTAAAAACATTGTCATTTCTATAAAGTGCAGCTCTGCTGATTGTTCCCTCAGTGGAAGTCACTATACATGAAGTTGAAACTAAGGTTTCTGGCCAAAACTGCTTCTATTAGTAGCCAAAATTGCCCAAATACTTTGTGCAAAAATTATTTTTTTATAAGCCCAAACTACTTTTTGTTATTAGCCAAAATTGGATGAAATTATTTTAAAGTTGTTTAAGTTAAAAACAAGTTGATTCATATAGTTTTTTAATGCTCATGCTTATAAAAAATGTTGAGAAGCCCAAATTGCCCAAACTAGTTTGGGCTTTGAGAAAACAGATTGGACCAGAAACCTTAGTTGAAACTATTTCAACCATTTGTAGATCTGGTCAAAATAGGGTCAAAACTGATTTTTACTATGTAGTTGCCTCAAGTAGAAACACTTCAACTTCATGTATAGAAGTCACATGTCTAATAAAACAATTGGCAACAAAATAGAACACATATTGTTTTATTTATTATTTTTAATTTACATCACTTTACCGCTATTTTTTATATTAATGAGCATTTCCTTCTCTGCTTCAAAAAGGCATGGTTATTTTCAATGTTATTAAGAATAATGAATCAAAATTTTGAATTGTTGGATTTTTTTTTTTTTCTTCACAATAAGCAACAGGAGAAGCTTTCAAAGAAAGCTTTATCAATTCCTTCAACAATAACATTTTTTTCAGATTTTCAAAAAAAGGACAGTTCAATATTAATTAAAAACTAGAATGATGATAAGTAGTGATAGCCACCACCACCATTCTTATGATAAACACTTGTATCTTTTCTTCCAGTTTCTCTTTTTTTTTTCTTTGGATTCTATTGGACATTATTTATTTATTTAGAAAAAGAATTGTTATTTGATTGACAAACGCATATATATTCATATGACAAGCTCACAGATCTCTTACAAATTTGGATTTATTATATATTAGCAAGATTTGCATTAAAATTTTCGGCAAGTGGCACAGTACGTGATGTCTTTAGATTATTTGCACCATATCATTGCTATTTTGGGATTTGAAGGTGATGCAAGCATTTGATGTCTTTAGATGGCGCGTACTATAATTTGAAAACAAAATATCACATTAAATTAATTAATATATGGTAATAGATCAACATCAATCGTAGGTTCCTGAGGTTTATTGCATTGAATTGTGCAATGAAATAAATTAAACAAATTTTTTAAAAATAATTTCTTTACATGATAAAAGATGATGATGATATTTGACATGAAATTTTAGAAAATTGAAAACTATGCATTTTTTACCACCTTGATGGTTATGATTTAGTTTTTCCTTTAGATTTTCTTTTGTTTTATGTTTTTGACATCTTTATCACTGTTATTATGATCTTTATTAACTTTATTAGATTTTAAATTTTTTTTTCCATTCTTCAATCAAATCATAAGTACAATTTTTGGCTGGTTCCTATTTATTATCATCATTGCCATCATTGTATTCTTCAAAAGAGTAAATCAAAAATTTACAAAAGAAAAAAAAACAAGGTCTTCCATTTGTATCTTTATCTGACATTAACTAAATAAGATATTTTCTCATCCTCTTTTTTTTTCACCTAAGAGACATTTGCTGCTCAAAATCCCATATTTGTTTTACTTTTGTTATAACAAGTGTTCGAAGGTTAAAAACTTATTTAATTGAAAGGAAATAAACTTTTTTTATTGTTGATGATAAATAATTGTGTAATTCCTATATTCATGTGACAGAATTAAATATATTTATTTTTTCTTGTAAATGAAATTCAAACTGATTTGAATCAAATTCAAATTCAAATCAGTTTGAATTAAATTGAATCAAATTCAAATTTACCCTGATTCAAATCAGTTTGAATCAAATTGAATCAAATTCAAATTTACCCTGATTCAATTCAATTTGATTCAAACTGATTTGAATATTAAATATATATAATTTGATTCGAACTGATTTGATTCATTTTGATTTGAGCTGATTTGAATATATAATTTGATTCAACTCAACTCAATTTGAATTAATGATGGTTGCTGAAACTACACTTAGTGGGCCAAATTGCTGAAATTAATTGGCCTAAACTTTGACAAAACTAATTTTAATGGCTGAAATTGGGAGTTTTTAAAATAAAGTAGATTGATTTAGATACTTATTGGACAAAACTACTTTTTTTCAAAAACAATTATCAGCTACCATCACTAAATAATATCCTTTAACATTTAAAAAATTTAAAATATGCACAATCTTGGTTTAGCAGATAGTTTGAGTTTAGAAATTTTTTTCCAAAAATCCATTATTATTATATTCAAACCTTGTCACAACAGACTATATATAATAATAATTAATTCTTATCATAATGGTTTTTTAAAATTTTGCTTCTCACATAAAAACATATAAAATTTTTCTTATCATTGTGTCCCATCTATCCATTGTGACTATATCAAAGAATCCATTATATTGAGAAGAATTTTATTGTTATTATTATTAAACCTCAATCTGTTATCAATTAAATTGAGGCACATTACATTGAGATTCACTGTATTTAATATGACATTAAGAAAAATTTAGGAATCTGGTTTGATTTGAATTGATTTGAATTGAGTCATGAATCAAATCAAATTTCTCTAAAATTCGATTCGATTTGATTTGTCCTTAAAGAGAATAAATTTGAAAAGCGACTGGATTCTTGCCATTCCAAATTACCATAATGGCATCACAAGATAGACACATATAGTTATGACCTGGTTGTGAACAAGGGAACTAATTTTGAAAATATTTACTTTTACAGACAGTAATGCAATTGGAAATTGGGCTAAGAATATTGAGGTCAACTTAGCATGGTATGAGATAATTATACATGTGTTCTGGATTCTTTAGCATCAGATTAATCCATTATCCTTCCTTAAAGGACTAGAAACCAAACTGGGGTTATGAATGTCTGCAGAATTAATAAGATGATAATAACATAATCCATAGGAAAGTCAATATTGAAAATATAAAATGGCATTAAGGTGAATAATATTTTTTAGCTTTTAAATAATGATTATTATTTTATGGATAGAAATATATACTTGGTAATATTGTTTGATAACAATTTCATGTTGCAACTAACTTATACAGGTTCTGTGTAACATATTGGCCACAGACAACAGTGTCCACTATGCTGACTCTAGTAACAGTAGGGATTTTGACCAGTTAACTTTTCACTTTTCTATATTAATATTAATGTGTCTTTTGTCTGGGACCTCCTCAATTAGAAGTTTCCGGGTAGAAATAAATAAAATATTAAAAAAATAGATTCAAAAAACCAATAATAATCTCTTTAATTTTAACGAATTCAACTATAGATTATATAATATTATTTATTTATAAACATGGCAAATGAAATTCTTCCTATAATACTACAAGAGCATTGTCAGGTAAGTTATATTTAATAATGTGTGACTATAGGAAGAAAAAAAGAATTTAAATTTGGTAATAAATAAATATATTTATATATTAGCTTCTAGAACTTGGTGTTAATCCAACTAATATATCATTCAATTGGTTAACTATGGAATCCGATCGTTTTATTACTGTACGTGAATCAAATGGGCAACAAAACCACGTTGTGATTATTGATCTAAATGATACTCAAAATGTTTTGAGGCGACCGATTGCTGCCGATTCTACTATAATGCATCCTAAAACAAAAATTCTTGCACTGAAAGGTTTGCAATTGATTAATTTATTGATTGAAAACAATAAATATAATAAATCGGTTAATTTATATTTGGTAAATTTAAAAAAAAATTTTTTAATAGCTCAACGGTCATTACAAATATTTAACCTTGATGCAAAAGCCAAAATCAAATCTCATGCAATGAATGAAGATGTTGTCTTTTGGAAATGGGTTAACGACAAAGCAATTGGACTTGTCACTCAGACATCTGTTTACCATTGGTCATTAGAGGGTGAATCAAATCCAGTTAAAATTTTTGATCGACACGCTAATCTTAATGATACACAAATCATTAATTACCGTGTAAATTCAGATCAAAAATGGATGGCTTTAACGGGAATAAAAGCTGTTGTTAGTATTATATTATATTATTCATTATTTAGGAGCAATACATGATTTTTTTAATCAATTCACAATCAATTATATCACAGGAAGGAAATGTTGTTGGTTATATTCAATTATATTCTAAAGATCGTCAGGTCAGTCAGTCTTTTGAAGGTCATGCAGCTGCATTTGCAACTATAAAATTGCCATATGGCAAATCACCTACAAGTCTGTTTACCTTTTCTGTTCGTAATTCTCAAGGAGCAAAGGTAATCAAATCAAAAACATATACATGTTATGCTTTTTTATTGTAAAAATATTTTATTTCTAATGTCTAATTTATATTTTTTCAATAGTTACATATTGCAGAAATTGATCACAAAGATGAAAATCCTCCATTTCAAAGAAAATCTGTTGATATTTATTTTCCAGCTGAGGCTGACAAAGATTTTCCTGTTTCTATGCAAATTAGTAAAAAACATGGTATTATATTTTTAGTTACAAAATTAGGCTATATTCACCTTTATGATTTGGAGACTGGTACCCGTTTTTTCATGAATAGAATAAGTGCTGAAACTATTTTTGTCACTGCGGAGCATGAAGCAACTAGTGGTATTATTGGCGTTAATAGAAAAGGACAAGTACGTTTATATTCTTAAAAACCTTGTTATTTCTAATCTGGTTTATTAAAATTTAAAACCTAAATCCCAAAATTATAAATTTAGGTTTTATCTGTGTCTATTGACGAAACAAAAATCATTCCTTATATTAAGGATTTGTACCAGGATAATCCTGATTTTGCTATCAATATAGCAACAAGATCTAATTTGGGAGGCGCTGAAGATATAATTTTACGAAAGTTTACTGGCCTATATTCATCAGGGAATTATACCGAAGCTGCAATACTTGCTGCTAATTCACCACTTGTAAGCTCACATTTTTAAATTATTAAATTATTTATTTTACAATTATTATCACAATAATAATTATTTTAAATTTATTTTTAGGGGTTTCTTCGTACACAGAGAACAATAGATCTTTTAAAAGCTATTGTTAATGTTGCTCCTGGTGAACCGTTACCATTTGAACAGTACTTCACTATTCTGTTAGAGAAAGGCAATCTTAACCAGCAAGAATCATTGGAACTAGCGCGGCTTGTTATGACACAAAATAAAAGAGAACTATTAGAAAAATGGTTGAGAGAAGATAAGGTATAATAATAACTGTTATTTTATGATTCATTAACATTATTATTATTATTATTATTATTATTATTACTATTACTATTATTATTATCATAATATATGTATTCTTAATCATTATTAATTTATTTACTATTTGTAGATTCATTGTAGTGAAGAACTTGGTGATTATGTGCGACCATTTGATATAACACTAGCTTTATCTATATATCTTCGTGCCAATGCTCCTATTAAGGTAAACTGTACATATTATGTTTAAATTATATACATATAACTTACATATTTTTATTTTCTACATTAGGTCATTGAATGTTTCGTTGAAAAAGGCGAATTTTCCAAAATAACTGTTTATGCAAAAAAAGTCGGATTCCAGCCAGATTATTCTTCTCTTCTTCAAAAAATTATGAGAGTTAATCCTGATAAAGGTGCAGAATTTGCTACTGCTTTAGCAAATGATGAAAATGGACCTTTGGTTGACATTGAAAAAGTGTGTTAATAATATTCATTCGTTCATTAGTTCCGATTATTTATTAATAATTTATAAATTAATGAATGATATTTAGATTGTAGATGTATTTATGTCGCAAAACATGATTCAACAATCAACATCATTCCTTCTTGATGCTTTAAAAGATAACAAACCAGAACATGGACATCTTCAAACTCGTTTACTTGAAATGAATTTATTGCATGCTCCTCAAGTAGCAGATGCAATTCTTGGCAATAATATGTTTACTCATTATGATAAACCTACTATTGCACATTTATGTGAAAAAGCTGGATTATTTCAAAGAGTACGTGATTTATTATGTTACTGCTATTTATTAATTTATTATCGCTGTATTACTTGGTTAATATTGTTGTTACTATTATTGTTACTATTTTTACTAATTACCATCATCATCATCTAATGTTAATATTTATTATTTATTATTATTGCAAAATAAATTATATCTTATTTGTACCTTTATAATATATTAGGCTTTAGAACATTACGATGATTCCAATGATATTAAACGTATAGTTGTACACGCTCATGCTTTACCCCCTGATGTAAGTTTAATTTCTTAATTATTTATAACTTTTTTCTGCCTTTTTCCTTTATTGATTTATAAATTTTTTTTAAAAGTTTGTTGTCCAATATTTTGGAAATCTTTCGGTTGATAATTCACTTGATTGTTTAAAAGAAATGCTCAAAGTTAATATTAGACAGAATTTACAAGTAGTAATACAAATCGCTACAAAATATTCAGAGCAATTACAACCATTAAATCTAGTTCAATTATTTGAATCTTTTAAATCATACGAAGGTGCTGTTTATTTTTATTTAAAAAAAAAAATTCATATTTTTATCAAAATATATATTGATAACAATTTTTTATTTTATTAGGTCTGTATTATTATCTTGGCTCAATTGTTAACCTCAGCACTGACCCCGATGTGCATTTCAAATTCATCCAGGCAGCTGTTAAAATAGGACAAACTAAAGAAGTTGAAAGAATATGTCGTGAAAGCCAATATTATGATCCTGAAAAAGTTAAAAATTTTTTAAAAGTAAGTTTTATTCTCTTGAGATCTTGAGATATTTTATCTTACTTCTAAATATACATATGTATATACATACTCTCACATATGCTTATATTTGCCAATGAAATTTGTGTAGGAAGCAAAACTTCAAGACCAGCTTCCATTAATTATTGTTTGTGACCGGTTTGATTTTGTACATGATTTAGTTTTATATTTGTATCAGCAAAATTTAACTAAATACATTGAAGTATATGTTCAGAAAGTTAATTCTGCTCGTACCCCAGCTGTTATTGGTGCTTTATTGGATGTTGATTGTGATGAAATTATCATTAAAAACTTATTGATGTCAGTTACTGGATCTGTTCCCGTTGATCAACTTGTTCAAGAAGTTGAAAAAAGAAACCGTCTTAAATTAATATTACCGTGGTTGCAATTGCGTGCTAGCGAAGGAAATCAAGATCCCGAACTATACAATGCTTTGGCTAAAATTCGTATAGATAGTAATACTGACCCAGAAACTTTTCTTAGGGAGAATACAGTATGCATATTTAATTATTTATATTATAAATTTTTGGTACATTATGCGTTTTATAATATTAACTTTTTTTATTTAGTATTACGATTCCATGACTGTAGGAAAATATTGTGAAAAACGGGATCCTCATCTTGCCTTTATTGCTTATCAACGTGGACAATGTGATCTTGAACTTGTAAAGATAACAAACGAAAATGCTATGTTTAAACATCAAGCTCGCTATTTGGTAAAACGTCGTGATCCTCAACTTTGGGCACATGTGTTAAAAAAGGATAACATGTATCATAAGAGTTTAATTGAACAGGTATCATTATTATTATAAAGTTTTTTTTTAAAAAATAAAAATAGTGTTTCACAATAGGATTTAATAGTTATTACATAGAGATATAGTATTTAATAATTAATATAAGTGTGTGTGTATTGGGGATAGGTTAATGCTATAGCTTTACCAGAAACTACAGATCCAGAAGATGTTTCTGTCACAGTGAAAGCTTTTATGGCAGCAGATTTACCATTGGAACTTATTGGATTATTAGAAAAACTTATTTTTGAAAATACAGCGTTTAGTGATCAGAAAACACTTCAAAATTTACTTATTCTTACAGCCATCAGGGTAATTAATATTTATGCGATTTACTTTATAACCCAATATATATATATTAACAACATACCTAAATCTATTGTTTAATTTTTTTTACAACATATAAAGGCAGACAAAGCTAAAGTAATGGACTTTATAAATAAACTCAATAATTTTGATGCACCTGAAGTTGCAGATATTGCTATAAAAACTAATTTATATGAAGAGGCATTTGCAATTTACAAGAAATACAATGAACATACAAGTGCTATAAATGTTTTAGTTGAACATATTGCTAGTCTTGATCGTGCAGCAGAATTTGCTGAAAAATGTAATATCCCTGAAGTTTGGAGTCGATTGGCTAAAGCACAAATCACTGGTTTAAGAATTAAAGATTCGATTGGTATGTGTCTTTCCTGGCAAATTGTTAATTTGCGAAAAATAAAATAAAAAATAATTATATTAAATTTCTAAACTTTTTTTCCTAATAAAAAAATCAGACTCATATATTCGTGCCGATGATCCTCTTTGGGAATTCTTGAATAACAACCACAATTACAACCTTTTTCTAAAAAATCAATGGCTTTTTGATATTCATTAGAACCATTATATTTATTATTATTACTTTTCATATACACTTATCCCTATATATATAATTTTATGTTCACTTTGTAGTTTTTTATAATTGTTTTAAATTGAAGGAGAGTATATGAATGGAATTAAACTTAGATGACCAATGGAATAGTTTTAGGTAAATGATTTAAAAGATATAATTGTGATGTTGAACAATTTGATCAATTGGCTCCAATGAAAAATAATTATGGCATCATCAATAATCAAAATGGGAAAAGACAACTTAAAAAGCAAACAATAAATGAATATTTGTAATATTTTACTTCATCAATAACAAGTTAATAAAAAATTGATTGCCTTTACCAATGAATTTTTCCACACATTGTTGATCATAAACATAGAAAATACTATTATTGTAGAAAAATTATATCAATTTTTGAAAACCTAAGTTAAAAATTAATTTGATATAATGATTATTACATTAAGGTAAATAACTTGATTTGTAAAATGCAACCTACAAGAGCAATGAAAGATGTGACTCTAAATTAATATAAAAGGATTTTAAATTGCATACAAAAGTGCACCAATGTATTCAAATAATTGCTTGATTGGCCTTGAACATGTAATGGTGTGATTGGTCCAGTCTTGGATTTCCATACAATCACTCTTGCAATTTTTTACTTGTATTTTTTTCAATCTAATTATATAATTATGTATCTTGGTTAAAATAAAAAATAAATAAATAAACATGATATTGCTATTTAATACTTTCCTCATGTGTGAATTCCTTTGTACCCACATTCATCACCATGTTTGATACTATCATTAACACCAAGGCCATGCATAAATGAAACTTTTAATAATGCATGTCTACCCAGATCTCTGGGATCAACAAGAATAAATAAATAGGGAGGATCAAAAAAAAAAATTTCCCTTCCCATTGTATAGTTTCTTATGAATAATAAATCTGATGTTGATCACAGGTGTCAGATTTAATTAAATTTTCCTATCACAAGCATGCAAGACGGTGCAATTAAGCACAATTCAGCACCATGGAATTTTTTTCCCACAGGTGAAACAGTCTTAAACATGTTAGAAGGCTTTTTCAAGGTAGACAAAGATTCGTCCATTATCTTCCCCTCAGACCAGGCTTGACTGTTACCATATGGGAATTGATAACTGATAAGGATCGGCATTTGGGTGATGACTGCTTTGTGTTATACCCCTCTCACTAGGACAAAGTCAATGTCTGCAGCTCTGCAACTCGGGAGGTTGCAACCTGAGTTGTTGCTGTTTTGGATTTTCCTTGAATTCAGAGTTTTGAATCCTGGGTTGTTGTCTTGTTGGTGGCATGCCTATTTACCAACAACCCTACCCTATTTAAAAAATAACAAATTCAGTTGGTCAAATAAAAATTAAAGAGAAACAGAAAATTTATGAATATGATTAATTTATAACATACCATCTAAACCATTTTATTTACAGCTTTCCTCCTAATATCAGAGCCCAAATGCAATTTCAGGGTCACCAATCCCACTCTGAATTACAACCTCCTGAGTTTGGAACAAGCTGCAGATTCTTGTTGCTTTGATGGATCTGGATGTTTACATGGCACTACAATTCATCAATAGAGTTGCAACTTGATCGCAGAGCTAGCCTTACCCTAGAGGTAGGATCATTGCAGGCAACTTTTCGTCTAACATGCCAACAGCTTGGGAAGATTAGTGAGAGTGTCCTTGATGATGCAGTCTTGATAAACTCCAGGGCCTTGTCCTCCCCCTGAAAATTCGGTTGCATCATTGTATCATCGGAGTGTGCAGTCAGATTATCCTTGTGTATACGAGGAAGACGTGAGAATGACTGTAATGTGTTCAAAGTAGCGTGTGTGCTTCAACGTTTGCTAATCAAACATCGCATATCGAAATGTTCCAGCAAGTTCTGCCCGCGTTTTGATTCCAATTAAAATAAATATTTATAAACTAAAATAAAAATATATATATCAATACAAATAAAAAAGTACCTCTGGTTAGTTATTAACACTTCTTCAGACCCAAGCCATACCAAACAACATTACATGTTTTGTCATGTTGGAAAAATAAGATTGTTTTTCTAAAAATTAAAAAAAATAAAAAAATTCAATTCGCGTCAACAAAAAAAAAAAATCTTTGTACAACACCAAGTGCCAATAATAATAATTACAGTCAACCCTCCATAAGTGCACCCCCCTTGGGACCAGGCGAGACCGTGAACTTATGGAGGGGTGCACTTATTGAACAAAAGTATTTTATTGATTGCACGTGACACTAATGAAAAATTAAAAAAAGATTAAAAAAGATTTTTATTTATAAAATTATTACAATACAAAAATTAAATGTCAACGTTCCTTCAAAAACTCCTAACCCAGTTGCAATTTGCTTGGCCTTTTCAACTAAAATAACATCACTTAAGATTGCTTTGTGTTGGTAAATTAAAACAAATTCCTTAAGAGCTTAGGGACAATCACAGATTTATGTCTTCTTGCTTCTAGATTGGTGATTTTGGTGCTAAGTATTTTTCTACTTTTTTGTATAGTTCTAGTTATTGTTGATTCATGAACTGTAACCCCCATTTTTGTTCAATCCATGCAACATATTCTTTTCTGGTCAATTTATTATTTGCAGCAAATAAGCAAAATTCATATTTTTGGGTATCAGATAAAGTTATTTTACTTGAAGACATTTATTTTTTTTTGGAAGTTATAAAAGAATATGAATTACAGTGAACAGTGATTCAATAATGTTAATTTAATTTATTGATAATAATGAATTAGAAGATTGATATATAATAACTGGGTATTTTTATTTTTTAAAGTAATAAGTGTAATTAGATTTTAGTTGTTAAAATTCTTTATCTGTTATGGCCCTTCCTTTACCTTTATATATAATAATCCCAACTATAAAAAATATAAGAGTTTTGTTGCTTGGATTCTTATTCTGTTATTCTATTATTCTGTTGTTCTGTTATTCTGTTCTTCTAATAACTCTTTATATCTATTAAAAAGAAAGAATTAATTATTTGTTGTAATAAAAGAAAGGAATTATTTATTTACTTGTTACTTGAATTATTATTTAACAATGTTTTGATGTACATGCAACATGGAATTACTAAATTTTTATTGCAGCATGGTCACATGAAAGTCACGAGGGTGCACTTAGAGAGGGTGGTTTTATATGAACGGGGCCAGGAAAAGACTGTGCAGTGCAGAACATAGAGGGAGTGCACTTATCTCTAAGTCCCGAGCTTGGGACCAGGTCACAGTGTGCACTTATGGAGGGTTGACTGTACTTTACTATGCTCGCGAGGAATTTTCCGCTATGATCCTTTCTAAATTTAGGAAAAATATTACCAAATTTAGACTAGCACTTGACTATCGTATCTAATTTTGGCAGTAAGAAAACTAAAATCACGTGAAGTCATATTTTTTGAAAAATTTTATTACATTTTTGAAATTTTTGAACAAATTACAAAATTACAAAATTGCTATTTTGAAATTTGGCCACATGGCACACAATAGGAGATCTTTAGACTGAGTCAACCATACTAATAAACACATAAAATTAAAATTAAAAAGTGGGGCCTCATACTGAGAATAAATTATTACTGGTCAATTAAATATTATGTTAGGAATAAATAATCAGTACAATATTAACCTCAAATCTCCATGATTGAATCACAAGTAAATGTTCATCAATACAACATACAACATACCAACAATCTTTCACAAAAAAAAATAAAAAAATTTAAAATAAATAATAATAAAAATAAAATGTGTCATTTTAATAATGTACTTTTTATATGCAAGGGGTCAGTCTGAATATATTTGTTAAACAAACAAGTTGAATAAACCAAGAACACAGTCTTTTTTATTGTAAATACTGAATTAGAATCCCAATATTTAATGTAATAAATGATGACATTACACATAAAAAACATGAAAATTAAGACTCTGAACAAATCAAATTGAATCACCTAATTTTTGATTCAAATCAGTTCAAATTGAATTGAATCAAATTCAAATTGTACCTTGATTTGATTTGGTTTGATTTGAGTATTAAATATATATAATTTGATTTGAACTGATTTGATTCATTTTGATTTGAACTGACTTGAATGTATAATTTGCTTCAAACTGATTCAACTCAACTCAATTTGAACTAGTGATGGTGGCTTAATTGCCAAAATTAATTGGCCTAAACTTTGACAAAACTAATTTTAATGGCTGAAATTGGGAGTTTTTAAAATAAAGTAGATTGATTTAGATACTTATTAGATGAAACTATCTTTTTTTCAAAACAGTTTCAGCTACCATCACTAAATAATATACTCTATTGAATAAAAAATTTAAAATATACACAATCTTGGTTTAGCAGAGATAGTTTGGGTTTAGAAATTTTTTTCAAAAAATCCATTATTATTATATTCAAACCTTGTCACAGTGGACCATAATAATAATCAATTCTTACCATAACAGATTTTTAAAATTTTTGTTTCACATATAAAATCATATAAAATTTTTTTTATTATTATGTCTCACATCTACCCATTGTGACTATATCAAGAAATTCATTATATTGAGAAGAATTTTATTATTATATTATTAAACCTCAATCTGTTGTTATCCATTAAATTGAGATACACTCGTTGTATTTAATATGACATTAAGAAAAATTTAGGAATCTGGTTTGATTTGAATTGATTTGAATTGAGTCATGAATCAAATCAAATTTCTCTAAAATTCGATTCGATTTGATTTGTCCTTAAAGAGAATAAATTTGAAAAGCGACTGGATTCTTGCCATTCCAAATTACCATAATGGCATCACAAGATAGACACATATAGTTATGACCTGGTTGTGAACAAGGGAACTAATTTTGAAAATATTTACTTTTACAGACAGTAATGCAATTGGAAATTGGGCTAAGAATATTGAGGTCAACTTAGCATGGTATGAGATAATTATACATGTGTTCTGGATTCTTTAGCATCAGATTAATCCATTATCCTTCCTTAAAGGACTAGAAACCAAACTGGGGTTATGAATGTCTGCAGAATTAATAAGATGATAATAACATAATCCATAGGAAAGTCAATATTGAAAATATAAAATGGCATTAAGGTGAATAATATTTTTTAGCTTTTAAATAATGATTATTATTTTATGGATAGAAATATATACTTGGTAATATTGTTTGATAACAATTTCATGTTGCAACTAACTTATACAGGTTCTGTGTAACATATTGGCCACAGACAACAGTGTCCACTATGCTGACTCTAGTAACAGTAGGGATTTTGACCAGTTAACTTTTCACTTTTCTATATTAATATTAATGTGTCTTTTGTCTGGGACCTCCTCAATTAGAAGTTTCCGGGTAGAAATAAATAAAATATTAAAAAAATAGATTCAAAAAACCAATAATAATCTCTTTAATTTTAACGAATTCAACTATAGATTATATAATATTATTTATTTATAAACATGGCAAATGAAATTCTTCCTATAATACTACAAGAGCATTGTCAGGTAAGTTATATTTAATAATGTGTGACTATAGGAAGAAAAAAAGAATTTAAATTTGGTAATAAATAAATATATTTATATATTAGCTTCTAGAACTTGGTGTTAATCCAACTAATATATCATTCAATTGGTTAACTATGGAATCCGATCGTTTTATTACTGTACGTGAATCAAATGGGCAACAAAACCACGTTGTGATTATTGATCTAAATGATACTCAAAATGTTTTGAGGCGACCGATTGCTGCCGATTCTACTATAATGCATCCTAAAACAAAAATTCTTGCACTGAAAGGTTTGCAATTGATTAATTTATTGATTGAAAACAATAAATATAATAAATCGGTTAATTTATATTTGGTAAATTTAAAAAAAAATTTTTTAATAGCTCAACGGTCATTACAAATATTTAACCTTGATGCAAAAGCCAAAATCAAATCTCATGCAATGAATGAAGATGTTGTCTTTTGGAAATGGGTTAACGACAAAGCAATTGGACTTGTCACTCAGACATCTGTTTACCATTGGTCATTAGAGGGTGAATCAAATCCAGTTAAAATTTTTGATCGACACGCTAATCTTAATGATACACAAATCATTAATTACCGTGTAAATTCAGATCAAAAATGGATGGCTTTAACGGGAATAAAAGCTGTTGTTAGTATTATATTATATTATTCATTATTTAGGAGCAATACATGATTTTTTTAATCAATTCACAATCAATTATATCACAGGAAGGAAATGTTGTTGGTTATATTCAATTATATTCTAAAGATCGTCAGGTCAGTCAGTCTTTTGAAGGTCATGCAGCTGCATTTGCAACTATAAAATTGCCATATGGCAAATCACCTACAAGTCTGTTTACCTTTTCTGTTCGTAATTCTCAAGGAGCAAAGGTAATCAAATCAAAAACATATACATGTTATGCTTTTTTATTGTAAAAATATTTTATTTCTAATGTCTAATTTATATTTTTTCAATAGTTACATATTGCAGAAATTGATCACAAAGATGAAAATCCTCCATTTCAAAGAAAATCTGTTGATATTTATTTTCCAGCTGAGGCTGACAAAGATTTTCCTGTTTCTATGCAAATTAGTAAAAAACATGGTATTATATTTTTAGTTACAAAATTAGGCTATATTCACCTTTATGATTTGGAGACTGGTACCCGTTTTTTCATGAATAGAATAAGTGCTGAAACTATTTTTGTCACTGCGGAGCATGAAGCAACTAGTGGTATTATTGGCGTTAATAGAAAAGGACAAGTACGTTTATATTCTTAAAAACCTTGTTATTTCTAATCTGGTTTATTAAAATTTAAAACCTAAATCCCAAAATTATAAATTTAGGTTTTATCTGTGTCTATTGACGAAACAAAAATCATTCCTTATATTAAGGATTTGTACCAGGATAATCCTGATTTTGCTATCAATATAGCAACAAGATCTAATTTGGGAGGCGCTGAAGATATAATTTTACGAAAGTTTACTGGCCTATATTCATCAGGGAATTATACCGAAGCTGCAATACTTGCTGCTAATTCACCACTTGTAAGCTCACATTTTTAAATTATTAAATTATTTATTTTACAATTATTATCACAATAATAATTATTTTAAATTTATTTTTAGGGGTTTCTTCGTACACAGAGAACAATAGATCTTTTAAAAGCTATTGTTAATGTTGCTCCTGGTGAACCGTTACCATTTGAACAGTACTTCACTATTCTGTTAGAGAAAGGCAATCTTAACCAGCAAGAATCATTGGAACTAGCGCGGCTTGTTATGACACAAAATAAAAGAGAACTATTAGAAAAATGGTTGAGAGAAGATAAGGTATAATAATAACTGTTATTTTATGATTCATTAACATTATTATTATTATTATTATTATTATTATTACTATTACTATTATTATTATCATAATATATGTATTCTTAATCATTATTAATTTATTTACTATTTGTAGATTCATTGTAGTGAAGAACTTGGTGATTATGTGCGACCATTTGATATAACACTAGCTTTATCTATATATCTTCGTGCCAATGCTCCTATTAAGGTAAACTGTACATATTATGTTTAAATTATATACATATAACTTACATATTTTTATTTTCTACATTAGGTCATTGAATGTTTCGTTGAAAAAGGCGAATTTTCCAAAATAACTGTTTATGCAAAAAAAGTCGGATTCCAGCCAGATTATTCTTCTCTTCTTCAAAAAATTATGAGAGTTAATCCTGATAAAGGTGCAGAATTTGCTACTGCTTTAGCAAATGATGAAAATGGACCTTTGGTTGACATTGAAAAAGTGTGTTAATAATATTCATTCGTTCATTAGTTCCGATTATTTATTAATAATTTATAAATTAATGAATGATATTTAGATTGTAGATGTATTTATGTCGCAAAACATGATTCAACAATCAACATCATTCCTTCTTGATGCTTTAAAAGATAACAAACCAGAACATGGACATCTTCAAACTCGTTTACTTGAAATGAATTTATTGCATGCTCCTCAAGTAGCAGATGCAATTCTTGGCAATAATATGTTTACTCATTATGATAAACCTACTATTGCACATTTATGTGAAAAAGCTGGATTATTTCAAAGAGTACGTGATTTATTATGTTACTGCTATTTATTAATTTATTATCGCTGTATTACTTGGTTAATATTGTTGTTACTATTATTGTTACTATTTTTACTAATTACCATCATCATCATCTAATGTTAATATTTATTATTTATTATTATTGCAAAATAAATTATATCTTATTTGTACCTTTATAATATATTAGGCTTTAGAACATTACGATGATTCCAATGATATTAAACGTATAGTTGTACACGCTCATGCTTTACCCCCTGATGTAAGTTTAATTTCTTAATTATTTATAACTTTTTTCTGCCTTTTTCCTTTATTGATTTATAAATTTTTTTTAAAAGTTTGTTGTCCAATATTTTGGAAATCTTTCGGTTGATAATTCACTTGATTGTTTAAAAGAAATGCTCAAAGTTAATATTAGACAGAATTTACAAGTAGTAATACAAATCGCTACAAAATATTCAGAGCAATTACAACCATTAAATCTAGTTCAATTATTTGAATCTTTTAAATCATACGAAGGTGCTGTTTATTTTTATTTAAAAAAAAAAATTCATATTTTTATCAAAATATATATTGATAACAATTTTTTATTTTATTAGGTCTGTATTATTATCTTGGCTCAATTGTTAACCTCAGCACTGACCCCGATGTGCATTTCAAATTCATCCAGGCAGCTGTTAAAATAGGACAAACTAAAGAAGTTGAAAGAATATGTCGTGAAAGCCAATATTATGATCCTGAAAAAGTTAAAAATTTTTTAAAAGTAAGTTTTATTCTCTTGAGATCTTGAGATATTTTATCTTACTTCTAAATATACATATGTATATACATACTCTCACATATGCTTATATTTGCCAATGAAATTTGTGTAGGAAGCAAAACTTCAAGACCAGCTTCCATTAATTATTGTTTGTGACCGGTTTGATTTTGTACATGATTTAGTTTTATATTTGTATCAGCAAAATTTAACTAAATACATTGAAGTATATGTTCAGAAAGTTAATTCTGCTCGTACCCCAGCTGTTATTGGTGCTTTATTGGATGTTGATTGTGATGAAATTATCATTAAAAACTTATTGATGTCAGTTACTGGATCTGTTCCCGTTGATCAACTTGTTCAAGAAGTTGAAAAAAGAAACCGTCTTAAATTAATATTACCGTGGTTGCAATTGCGTGCTAGCGAAGGAAATCAAGATCCCGAACTATACAATGCTTTGGCTAAAATTCGTATAGATAGTAATACTGACCCAGAAACTTTTCTTAGGGAGAATACAGTATGCATATTTAATTATTTATATTATAAATTTTTGGTACATTATGCGTTTTATAATATTAACTTTTTTTATTTAGTATTACGATTCCATGACTGTAGGAAAATATTGTGAAAAACGGGATCCTCATCTTGCCTTTATTGCTTATCAACGTGGACAATGTGATCTTGAACTTGTAAAGATAACAAACGAAAATGCTATGTTTAAACATCAAGCTCGCTATTTGGTAAAACGTCGTGATCCTCAACTTTGGGCACATGTGTTAAAAAAGGATAACATGTATCATAAGAGTTTAATTGAACAGGTATCATTATTATTATAAAGTTTTTTTTTAAAAAATAAAAATAGTGTTTCACAATAGGATTTAATAGTTATTACATAGAGATATAGTATTTAATAATTAATATAAGTGTGTGTGTATTGGGGATAGGTTAATGCTATAGCTTTACCAGAAACTACAGATCCAGAAGATGTTTCTGTCACAGTGAAAGCTTTTATGGCAGCAGATTTACCATTGGAACTTATTGGATTATTAGAAAAACTTATTTTTGAAAATACAGCGTTTAGTGATCAGAAAACACTTCAAAATTTACTTATTCTTACAGCCATCAGGGTAATTAATATTTATGCGATTTACTTTATAACCCAATATATATATATTAACAACATACCTAAATCTATTGTTTAATTTTTTTTACAACATATAAAGGCAGACAAAGCTAAAGTAATGGACTTTATAAATAAACTCAATAATTTTGATGCACCTGAAGTTGCAGATATTGCTATAAAAACTAATTTATATGAAGAGGCATTTGCAATTTACAAGAAATACAATGAACATACAAGTGCTATAAATGTTTTAGTTGAACATATTGCTAGTCTTGATCGTGCAGCAGAATTTGCTGAAAAATGTAATATCCCTGAAGTTTGGAGTCGATTGGCTAAAGCACAAATCACTGGTTTAAGAATTAAAGATTCGATTGGTATGTGTCTTTCCTGGCAAATTGTTAATTTGCGAAAAATAAAATAAAAAATAATTATATTAAATTTCTAAACTTTTTTTCCTAATAAAAAAATCAGACTCATATATTCGTGCCGATGATCCTAGTAATTTTTCAGAAGTTATCAGTATATCATCACGAGCTGAAAAATATGAAGATCTTGTACGATACTTGCAAATGTGTCGTAAAAAGCTACGTGAACCTTTGGTTGATAATGAGCTTCTTTTTGCGTATGCCAAGACTGAAAAATTCCATGACCTTGAGGAATTTTTGAATAGACCAAATGTTGCGCAAATTCAAATTGTTGGTGAACGTTGTTATGAAGATGGTCTTTATGAATCTGCCAAAATTTTATTCCAGAGTATTTCAAATTGGGCAAGGTTAGCTTCTACGCTCGTTCATTTGGGTGAATATCAAGCAGCTGTTGATGGTGCTAGAAAAGCCAGTAATACTAAGTAATTATTGATTCTATTGACTAATTTGCTTGTTTTTATGATTTAAATCTGATTGATTAATTATTATCTATCTATTAATGAAAAAATAATAATAGGGTTTGGAAAGATGTACATAATGCTTGTGTTCAACATAAAGAGTTTCGTTTAGCACATATTTGTGGTCTTAACCTTATTGTTCATGCCGAAGAGTTACAAGTGAGTTTTATATATGAAAATTTGTAAATTCTGTTATTTTGATGGATTATTAATAATGATAATGTCATTGTGCTGTTATTGTCGTTTAGAATGTGACTAGGTTGTATGAAAATAATGGTTATATAGATGAATTATTATCACTTTTAGAAGCAGGGTCTGGCCTTGAAAGAGCACATATGGGAATGTTTACTGAATTATCCATTTTGTATACTAAATATCGACCTGATAAAACATATGAACATTTACGAATTTTCTGGTCACGACTTAATATTCCTAAAGTGATTCGTGCTTGTGATGAGGCTCATCAATGGAAAGAATTGGTTTTTTTATATGAACATTATGATGAATTTGATAACGCTGCCCTTGTAATGATTCAACACGCAGCTGATGCTTGGGAACATTCACGATTCAAAGATATATTAGTTAAAGTTAGCAACGTTGAAATTTATTATAAGGTATTAGTCTCAAATTTCAAATTAAATTTATATATATTCATACTACATATAATTTGATATATTTATTAACAATTCACTTTTTTTTTTCCAAGGCTTTAAAATTTTATCTGGATGAACATCCTCTTTTACTTAATGATCTTCTTGGTGCATTAACTCCAAGAATTGATCACACAAGAGTTGTACAAATGTTCCAAAAATCTGACAACATTCCATTGATAAGATCATACTTAATATCAGTACAAGAAGTATGTATATATATGCCATATTTATTCGCAACGTTATTTGTCAATAAACCATTTACCTTTTCTTCTTCCTTTCCACTCTAGACAAACAATGAAGCAGTTAATAATGCATATAATGATATATTGATTGAAGAGGAGGATTATAAAGCATTGAGAGATTCAATTGATAGTTTTAATAATTTTGATAATATCAAATTAGCACAACGACTTGAAAAACATAGTCTTCTTGAATTCCGTAGAATTGCAGCACATCTCTACAAAAAGAATAAACGTTGGTCACAATCAATTGCGTTGTCTAAAGAGGATAGACTTTTCAAAGATGCGATTGAAACAGCCAGTGAATCACGTTCAATTGAAGTAGCAGAAGAACTTTTAGAATACTTTGTGCAAATAGGAAACAAAGAATGTTTCACTTCTTGTTTATTTGTTTGTTATGATTTTGTTAGACCAGATATTGTATTGGAGTTAGCATGGAGACATGGTCTTAATGACTTTGCTATGCCATATTTGATCCAAGTTTTACGCGAATTCTCTCTTAAGGTAAAATAATTAATAATATAGATACATAGAGATATTTTAGCAATGTTTGAAAATAAAATTAAATATATAATTTGCCATTATTTTAGGTTGATTCATTAGAAAAGGCAAATGCTGAAAGATCAGCAAAAGAACAAGAGCGTGAAAAATCGGAAAATGGTAATTATTATAAAAATAATAATAAAATATTATAATTGGTTTGCTTTTTTTTATTGATTAATCGAAAATTTTTTTATCATCATCAGAAACACCAATTATAGGTTTGGGAAATCAACGTTTACTTACTCAATGGACATAAAATTTAAAATTGATCATCCATTTTATAATTTTAAAGTCAAATTTTTTTTTAATTTTTTCATAATAAAAATTTCGCAAGATAAAAATTTGTTATTAATAAAAAACTTTCTCAAGAACCAGAACTTTGAAATGATGTAAAGGACACAAATATTTATTTAATATAATTTTGAGAAAATCTCAAAATAATTTTTGGGTACAAACTTTTGTCCATCGAGTGCACACTAAACTATAAAACGTGAATTTAATTTGATAATTATTAAATAAAATTAAACATTTAATTAACTTACATTATTGGCAAAATAATTTTCAATTTCTTTTAGGGTGGTTTGCTTTTATTTTTTTTTTATAATTTTCAATGGTTTTACAGTGTGTAACGAAAAAAATTGACCTCTGTTTATTTATAAATATTTATTTAAATTGAGCATACAATAGCTTGTTTAAAAGCCTAAAACCAAGAAATTTATTGATATATATATTAATAATTGATTCGTTCGCCGTTACTATCAATTATCATCTGGCAATGATTATTCATTGACGAAACAAGGTTAGACAACATAAGACTTGGAATTTTTTCCTATTCCTCGACCAAATACTGCCGCAACTTGCTAAGATTTGCTGGCATACGCTTTTCTACATTACGTTTAACAATGCTCCATGGGTTTTCTATGGGATTAAGGTCTGGGTTGTTAGCTGGCCAATCGATGACTTCAGGGAAGTACTCATCAAGGAAATTTTTGGCAACCCGACTAGTGTGCTTCGGGTCATTGTCTTGTTGGAATCTCCACCGCCTACCAAGCATCCTTTGGATTTCTGGAAGGTGCTGGCGCAAAATTCAACATAAAACTCTCCATTCATGATCTCAGTGAAGCAAAACAAGCTAGTCTTCCCTTTAACACAAAACCCACCCCAGGCAAAGACTTTTTGTCGGTCTTTAGGAAGTGGCCGAATAGGTTTTGGACCCCTATACCATCATTTTATTGTGTTCCTAAACAGATGGAAGGCTGTTTCGTCAGAAAACAAGGTCCTTTCCCAACTATCATTTAGGTGATTCCTAGCCCATTCAACTCGCCTTGCCTTGTGATTAACAGTGAGCATTGGGGTACCAGTTGGAAGTGCATTTTTGTAGCCAAGCTCTTTCAATCTTCTCGTTACAGCCATATGCAATACAGAATTTTCATTATTGGATAATTTTATTGCCAGGGTTCGCAAAGATGTGGAACTGTCATTGCAAATGTACTGCGTCTTGCTGATCCTATCTTTTTTAGACGGCCATTACCTCCCTTATGTGAAACATCTCCGGTTTCTTTAATATTATATTTGGCTGTTGATAGGGGAATGTTAGTTTTTGTGTGAAGTTCCTTTGGAGAATGTATTCCTTGGTTCCAATAATAAAGAAGTGTTGAACGTTGCAAATCGAGCTTGTTTGATGACATTTTTTTATGTTGACCAAACTAAGATTGATGGTTCAAAAATTTTGTTTTTACAACACAGGGGTTTAGTATGATTGTTTGATTTAATTGGATGGGATTTAATTACTTATTCGTGAAACTGTATGCTTTTGAATTTTGCATCATCGGAGGTCAATTTTTTTCATTACACACTGTATATGATGCAGATATATCTGCATTTGATAATGTCTCAATTGCAGCAGCACTTGTACCATTTTCTGCTAAATAAAGACCAAGGTCCAATTTGAAGGTATTTACAAATTTATTCCTTAAACCTGCTAAAAGATAACAATAACCAACTATTGCTTTTTTAGCAGGAATTATATTTAACATTTCATCAAAAAATCCTTCTAATTTTGGTCCACTCTCCTTGATTAATTGGCAAAATTTTATTGGATCCAATTCAATATCTGCGTTATATCTATGTTGAATATCTTGGTCAATAATTCAATTTTATTCGAAAAGGACAATTCATCTATAATTAAAATTTAGAAATCTTCATAAAAGAATAGATAGCTTAACTTACTTTTTCTTGAATCATTTTAACAAAATAATAAAAATGTAAATAAATACGAATAAAAATAAAATAAGAAATGAAATAAATAAATGTAGATATAAAATAAAGTAAAATAAAGTAAAAATAGAAATAAAAGATTTGATTCGGAATTAGGATATTTCGGCCAACAAATCAGCGTTAAATCCTAATTCTGGTAACAATATATAAAGAAATTTAATTTGAAAAAACAAATCATGTTTTTTTACTGTAAGTTTTTTTATCAAGTTTATCATCATAAGTTTTAATTATCATAAGTTTTAATTATCATAAGTTTATTTATCATAAATTTTTTAAAACTTTTAGGCAAGTAATATGTGATATGAGCCCATTATTATTATACAGAAATTTAATTAAATATTAGAGTAAAATATTTAAATCATTATTATTATAGTAATAGAGAGAAAGTCATCATATGAACTTTATTATTTAAATTGAATTTATAAAAATCACCAGACTTTTTCAATAAGCAAATAACATTTTTACCATTATGATTGAAAATTTAAATTAATTAAATATTGTATGTT